CTCACTCACCCACTACAGAGACTCACTCCTCCACTCACTCACCCGTACAGACACTCACTCACCTACTCACCCATACACTCACCCCTCCACTCACCCATACACTCACTCACCCATACACTCATTCACCCACTCACTCACCCACTCACTCACTCCTCCACTCACTCACCCATACAGAGACTCACTCATCCACTCACTCACCCCTCCCCTCACTCACCCACCCACTCACTCCCTCACCCCTCCACTCACCCGCTCACTCACACCTCCACTCACCCACCCGTAAAGAAATTCACTCACGCACTCACTCTTCTCTCCACTCACTCACCCATACACTCACTCACCCACTCACTCACCCCTCCACTCACTCACCCGTACAGACACTCACTCACCCACTCACCCATACACTCATTCACCGACTCACTCCTCCACTCACTCACCCACACACTCACCCCTCCACTCACTCATTTAGTCTCCCACACAGACACTCACTCACGCAGAACCAGACACTCACACAGACATTCACACAGACACCCACAGACACTCATACAGAGACCCACAGACACCCACAGAGACCCACAGACACTCACACAAAGATCCAGACACCCACAGACACTCACATAGAGACCCACAGATACCAAGACACTCACAGAGACTCACAGACACTCACACAGAGACCCACAGACACCCACACAGACAGCCATAGACACTCACACAGAGACCTACAAACACTCAGACACTCACAGAGACTCACAGACACCCACAGACACCCACACAGACAGCCACAGACACTCACACAGAGACCTACAGACACCCAGACACTCACAGAGACTCACAGACACCCACACAGAGACCCGCAGACACCCACATAGACACACAGACACTCAGACACGCACAGAGACTCACAGACACCCACACAGAGACCCGCAGACACCCATAAAGAGACCACAGACACCCAGAGATACCCACATAGAGAGCCACAGACAGCCATAGACACCCACCCAGACACTCGTAGACACCCACAGATACCCACACAAGAGACCTACAGACACCCAAAGACTCTCAGAGACACCCACATAGAGACCCACAGACACCCACACAGACACTCACACAGAGACCCACAGGCACCCACACAGACACTCACACAGAGACCCACAGGCACCCACACAGACACTCACACAGATACCCACAGGCACCCACACAGACACTCACACAGAGACCCACAGACACTCACACAGACACTCACACAGAGACCCACAGACACCCACACAGAGACCCATAGACACTCACAGATACCGACAGACACTCACACAGAGACCCACAGACACTCGCACAGACATTCACACAGACACCCACCTAGACACTCACACAGAGACTCATAGACACCCACACAGAGACCCGCAGACACCCATAAAGAGACCACAGACACCCAGAGATACCCACATAGAGAGCCACAGACAGCCAGAGACACCCACCCAGACACTCGTAGACACCCACAGATACCCACACAAGAGACCCACAGACACCCACACAGACACTCACACAGAGACCCACAGACACCAACATAGACACTCATACAGAGACCCACAGACACCCAAAGACTCTCAGAGACACCCACACAGAGACCCACAGACACCCACACAGACACTCACACAGAGACCCACACACACCCACATAGACACTCACACAGAGACCCACAGACACCCACATAGACACTCATACAGAGACCCACAGGCACCCACACAGACACTCACACAGAGACCCACAGACACCCACACAGACACCAACATAGACACTCATACAGAGACCCACAGACACCCACAGAGACACTCAAACAGAGACCCACAGACACCCATAGACACTCACATAGACACTCACACAGACAGCCATAGACACTCACATAGACACACACAGAGACCCACAGACACCCACATAGACACTCACACAGAGACCCACAGACACTCACACAGATACCCAAAGACACCCACACAGACACCCACACAGAGAGACCCACAGACACCCACATAGACACCCACATAGACACTCACACAGAGACCCACAGACACTCACCTAGACACACACAGAGACCCACAGACACCCACATAGACACTCACACAGCGACCCAGAGACACCCACATAGACACTGACACAGAGACCCACAGACACTCACATATACACTCACACAGAGAACCATAGACACCCACATAGACACTTACACAGAGACCCACAGACACCCACATAGACATTCACACAGAGAACCATAGACACCCACCTAGACACTCACACAGAGACCCATAGACACTCACACAGATACCCACAGACACCCACATAGACACTCACACAGAGACCCACAGACACCCACATATACACATTCACACAGAGAACCACAGACACCCACATAGACACTCACACAGATACCCACAGACACCCACACAGAGACCCACACAGACACTCACACAGAGAACCACCTAGACACTCACACAGACACCCACAGACACCCACACAGACACTCACACAGAGACCCACAGACACCCACACAGACACTCACACAGAGACCCACAGACACTCACACAGAGACCCATAGACACTCACAGATACCGACAGACACCCACACAGACACTCACACAGAGACCCACAGACACTCACACAGAGACCCACAGACACCCACACAGACATTCACACAGACACCCACCTAGACACTCACACAGAGACCCATAGACACTCACAGATACCGACAGACACCCACACAGACACTCACACAGAGACCCACAGACACCCACACAGAGACCCACAGACACCCACATAGACACTCACACAGACACTCACACAGAGACCCACATAGACACTCACACAGACACTCGTAGACACCCACAGACAACCCGACACTAATAGACACTCACACAGACACCCACACACCCACAGACACCCACACAGACACACACACAGACACCCACAGACACCCACACAGAGACCCACATAGACACTCACACAGACACTCGTAGGCACCCACAGACACCCCGACACTCATAGACACTCACACAGACACCCACACACCCACAGACACCCACACAGACACACACACAGACACACACACAGACACCCACAGAGACCCACATAGACACTCACACAGACACTCGTAGACACCCACAGACACCCCGACACTCATAGACACTCACACAGACACCCACACACCCACAGACACCCACACAGACACACACACAGACACCCACACAGAGACCCACATAGACACTCACACAGACACTCGTAGACACCCACAGACACCCCGACACTCATAGACACTCACACAGACACCCACACACCCACAGACACCCACACAGACACACACACAGACACCCACAGACACCCACACAGAGACCCACATAGACACTCACACAGACACTCGTAGACACCCACAGACACCCCGACACTCATAGACACTCACACAGACACCCACACACCCACAGACACCCACACAGACACACACACAGACACCCACAGACACCCACACAGAGACCCACATAGACACTCACACAGACACTCGTAGACACCCACAGACACCCCGACACTCATAGACACTCACACAGACACCCACACACCCACAGACACCCACACAGACACACACACAGACACCCACAGACACCCACACAGAGACCCACATAGACACTCACACAGACACTCGTAGACACCCACAGACACCCCGACACTCATAGACACTCACACAGACACCCACACACACCCACACAGAGACCCACATAGACACTCACACAGACACTCGTAGACACTCACACAGAGACCCACATAGACACTCACACAGACACTCGTAGACACTCACATAGACACTCGTAGACACCCACAGACACCCCGACACTCATAGACACTCACACAGACACCCACATAAATGCTCACACACACTGCGGATGAGCCGAGTGCGGCCTAGTGCAGGCTTCGAAGCCTGCGGCTAGGCCGCTACCTACACAGAGACTTACAGACATTCACACAGACACTCGTAGACACACACACAGAAACACACACACACCCACAGACACCCACACAGACACACACACAGACACCCACACAGACACACACACAGACACCCACACAGATACCCACACACACAGACACTAACACACACACAGACACCCCCACACACACACACACCCACACACAGACACACACACAGGCACCCACAGACACACGCACACAGACACACACACACAGACACACACACAGACACCCACACACCCACACACACAGAGACACACACAGACACGCACAGACACCACCCCCACACTCACACACAGACACACACACACAAACACCACACACACACAAACACCACACACACACAGACACACCACACACACACAGACATAGACACCCCACACACACACAGACACACACACACACCCACCACACACAGACACACACACACACCCACACACAGACACCCACACATACAGAGACACAGACACACACAGACACACACACAGACACATACATACACACAGACACACACAGACACACACAGACACACACATACACAGAGACACACACACACACATACACAGAGACACACACACAGACACACACACATACACACATACACAGAGACACACACACATACACAGAGACACACACACCGACACACACAGACACACACAGACACACACACATAGAGACACACAGACACACACAGACACACACACAGACACACACACACAGAGACACACACACATACACAGAGACACACACAGACACACACACACATACACAGAGACACACACACATACACAGAGCCACACACAGACACATACACAGAGACACACACACAGACACACAGACACACACACAGACACACAGAGACACACACACAGACACACAACACAGAGACACAACACACAGACACACACACAGACACTCTGTGACAGACACTCTGTGTGTGTGAGTGTCTCTGAGCAGAGTGCGGCCTAGCGCCGCAGGCTTCGAGGCGCGGTGCTCCGTCTAACCTGAAAGTTGAACACTTGCACGGGCAGAGGCATCGTCGCCAGAGTTGGTGTTGTTGTTGTTGTTTTAATCGCTCGTCGCCCCCTTAGGACAACAACAAACAACAACAACAAACTCCCTTGATGAGCGTCCGTCAGCGAGGTGAACGATTTTAACTCTCCCACGTCAGACAGATTACAACAACAACATCCGGGATACTGCGCTAGCGCGGTGACGTCACCGCGTTTTATCAAATACGTGCGCGGTGACGTCGCCGCGTCGATAAAATACGCCCGGTGACGTCACCGCGTCGACGCACGTGGAGGAAGCTTTTTAACGTTGAAGTCTATGGGGGGGGATTTAACGTTGAAGTCTATGGGGACGATTTAACGTTGAAGTCTATGGGGAGACTTTAACATTGAAGTCTATGGGGGGACTTTAACATTGAAGGCTATGGGAGCCTTTAATTTTGAAGTCTATGGGAGACTTTAACATTGAAGTCTATGGGAGCCTTTAACATTGAAGTATATGGGGAGCCTTTAACATTGAAGTCTATGGGAGACTTTAACATTGAAGTCTATGGGGAGACTTTAACATTGAAGTCTATGGGGAGACTTTAATATTGAAGTCTATGGGAGCCTTTAACATTGAACGCTATGGGGAGCCTTTAACATTGAACGCTATGGGGAGCCTTTAACATTGAACGCTATGGGGAGCCTTTAACATTGAACGCTATGGGGAGCCTTTAACATTGAACGCTATGGGGAGCCTTTAACATTGAACGCTATGGGGAGCCTTTAACATTGAACGCTATGGGGAGCCTTTAACATTGAACGCCATGGGGAGCCTTTAACATTGAACGCTATGGGGAGCCTTTAACATTGAACGCTATGGGGAGCCTTTAACATTGAACGCTATGGGGAGCCTTTAACATTGAACGCTATGGGGAGCCTTTAACATTGAACGCTATGGGGAGCCTTTAACACTGAACGCTATGGGGAGCCTTTAACATTGAACGCTATGGGGAGCCTTTAACATTGAACGCTATGGGGAGCCTTTAACCTTGAACGCTATGGGGAGCCTTTAACATTGAACGCTATGGGGAGCCTTTAACATTGAACGCTATGGGGAGCCTTTAACATTGAACGCTATGGGGAGCCTTTAACATTGAACGCTATGGGGAGCCTTTAACATTGAACGCTATGGGGAGCCTTTAACATTGAACGCTATGGGGAGCCTTTAACATTGAACGCTATGGGGAGCCTTTAACATTGAACGCTATGGGGAGCCTTTAACATTGAACGCTATGGGGAGCCTTTAACATTGAACGCTATGGGGAGCCTTTAACATTGAACGCTATGGGGAGCCTTTAACATTGAACGCTATGGGGAGCCTTTAACATTGAACGCTATGGGGAGCCTTTAACATTGAACGCTATGGGGAGCCTTTAACATTGAACGCTATGGGGAGCCTTTAACATTGAACGCTATGGGGAGCCTTTAACATTGAACGCTATGGGGAGCCTTTAACATTGAACGCTATGGGGAGCCTTTAACATTGAACGCTATGGGGAGCCTTTAACATTGAACGCTATGGGGAGCCTTTAACATTGAACGCTATGGGGAGCCTTTAACATTGAACGCTATGGGGAGCCTTTAACATTGAACGCTATGGGGAGCCTTTAACATTGAACGCTATGGGGAGCCTTTAACATTGAACGCTATGGGGAGCCTTTAACATTGAACGCTATGGGGAGCCTTTAACATTGAACGCTATGGGGAGCCTTTAACATTGAACGCTATGGGGAGCCTTTAACATTGAACGCTATGGGGAGCCTTTAACATTGAACGCTATGGGGAGCCTTTAACATTGAACGCTATGGGGAGCCTTTAACATTGAACGCTATGGGGAGCCTTTAACATTGAACGCTATGGGGAGCCTTTAACATTGAACGCTATGGGGAGCCTTTAACATTGAACGCTATGGGGAGCCTTTAACATTGAACGCTATGGGGAGCCTTTAACACTGAACGCTATGGGGAGCCTTTAACATTGAACGCTATGGGGAGCCTTTAACATTGAACGCTATGGGGAGCCTTTAACACTGAACGCTATGGGGAGCCTTTAACATTGAACGCTATGGGGAGCCTTTAACATTGAACGCTATGGGGAGCTTTAACATTGAACGCTATGGGGACCTTTACATTGAAGCTATGGGAGACTTTAACATGAAGTCGCTATGGGAGACCTTTAAGTGCCGAACGCGTGATGGTACCTGTTAACTGACGCTATGGGGGCCTTTACCATGAACCAAGAGTAACTTGGGGAGACTTTAACACTGAATCTATGGGAGCTTTAACTGAACGTCTATGGGGAGATTTAACACTGAAGCTATGGGACTTTAACATTGACGTCTATGGGGACTTTAACATTGAACGCTATGGGGAGCCTTTAACATTAACGCGATGGAGACCTTTAACATTGAACGCTATGGGGAGCCTTTAACATGAACGCCTGATGGGGACCTTTAACATGAAGTCTATGGGGAGCTTTAACATTGAAGTGCTTGGGAGCTTTAACATTGAAGCTATGGGGAGCCTTTAACATTGAAGCTATGGCAGCCTTTAACATTGAACGCTATGGGGAGCCTTTAACATTGAACGCTATGGGGAGCCTTTAACATTGAACGCTATGGGGAGCCTTTAACATTGAACGCTATGGGGAGCCTTTAACATTGAACGCTATGGGGAGCCTTTAACATTGAACGCTATGGGGAGCCTTTAACATTGAACGCTATGGGGAGCCTTTAACATTGAACGCTATGGGGAGCCTTTAACATTGAACGCTATGGGGAGCCTTTAACATTGAACGCTATGGGGAGCCTTTAACATTGAACGCTATGGGGAGCCTTTAACATTGAACGCTATGGGGAGCCTTTAACATTGAACGCTATGGGGAGCCTTTAACATTGAACGCTATGGGGAGCCTTTAACATTGAACGCTATGGGGAGCCTTTAACATTGAACGCTATGGGGAGCCTTTAACATTGAACGCTATGGGGAGCCTTTAACATTGAACGCTATGGGGAGCCTTTAACATTGAACGCTATGGGGAGCCTTTAACATTGAACGCTATGGGGAGCCTTTAACATTGAACGCTATGGGGAGCCTTTAACATTGAACGCTATGGGGAGCCTTTAACATTGAACGCTATGGGGAGCCTTTAACATTGAACGCTATGGGGAGCCTTTAACATTGAACGCTATGGGGAGCCTTTAACATTGAACGCTATGGGGAGCCTTTAACATTGAACGCTATGGGGAGCCTTTAACATTGAACGCTATGGGGAGCCTTTAAACATTGAACGCTATGGGGAGCCTTTAACATTGAACGCTATGGGGAGCCTTTAACATTGAACGCTATGGGGAGCCTTTAACATTGAACGCTATGGGGAGCCTTTAACATTGAACGCTATGGGGAGCCTTTAACATTGAACGCGATGGGGAGCCTTTAACATTGAACTCTATGGGGAGCCTTTAACATTGAACGCTATGGGGAGCCTTTAACATTGAACGCTATGGGGAGCCTTTAACATTGAACGCTATGGGGAGCCTTTAACATTGAACGCTATGGGGAGCCTTTAACATTGAACGCTATGGGGAGCCTTTAACATTGAACGCTATGGGGAGCCTTTAACATTGAACGCTATGGGGAGCCTTTAACATTGAACGCTATGGGGAGCCTTTAACATTGAACGCTATGGGGAGCCTTTAACATTGAACGCTATGGGGAGCCTTTAACATTGAACGCTATGGGGAGCCTTTAACATTGAACGCTATGGGGAGCCTTTAACATTGAACGCTATGGGGAGCCTTTAACATTGAACGCTATGGGGAGCCTTTAACATTGAACGCTATGGGGAGCCTTTAACATTGAACGCTATGGGGAGCCTTTAACATTGAACGCTATGGGGAGCCTTTAACATTGAACGCTATGGGGAGCCTTTAACATTGAACGCTATGGGGAGCCTTTAACATTGAACGCTATGGGGAGCCTTTAACATTGAACGCTATGGGGAGCCTTTAACATTGAACGCTATGGGGAGCCTTTAACATTGAACGCTATGGGGAGCCTTTAACAATGAACGCTATGGGGAGCCTTTAACATTGAACGCTATGGGGAGCCTTTAACATTGAACGCTATGGGGAGCCTTTAACATTGAACGCTATGGGGAGCCTTTAACATTGAACGCTATGGGGAGCCTTTAACATTGAACGCTATGGGGAGCCTTTAACATTGAACGCTATGGGGAGCCTTTAACATTGAACGCTATGGGGAGCCTTTAACATTGAACGCTATGGGGAGCCTTTAACATTGAACGCTATGGGGAGCCTTTAACATTGAACGCTATGGGGAGCCTTTAACCTTGAACGCTATGGGGAGCCTTTAACATTGAACGCTATGGGGAGCCTTTAACATTGAACGCTATGGGGAGCCTTTAACATTGAACGCTATGGGGAGCCTTTAACATTGAACGCTATGGGGAGCCTTTAACATTGAACGCTATGGGGAGCCTTTAACATTGAACGCTATGGGGAGCCTTTAACATTGAACGCTATGGGGAGCCTTTAACATTGAACGCTATGGGGAGCCTTTAACATTGAACGCTATGGGGAGACTTTAACATTGAAGTCTATGGGGAGCCTTTAACATTGAAGTCAAAAGGGAGCGTTTAACATTGAAGTCTATGGGAGACTTTAACATTGAAGTCTATGGGGAGACTTTAATATTGAAGTCTATGGGAGACTTTAACATTGAAGTCTATGGGAGCCTTTAACATTGAAGTCTATGGGGAGCCTTTAACATTGAAGTCTATGGAAAGACTTTAATATTGTAGTCTATGGTAGACTTTAACATTGAAGTCTATGGGGGGACTTTAACATTGAAGTCTATGGGAAGCCTTTAACATTGAAGTCTATGGGAGACTTTAACATTGAAGTCTGTGGGAGACTTTAACATTGAAGTCTATGGGAGACTTTAACATTGAAGTCTGTGGGAGACTTTAACATTGAAGTGGCCGAAACGTCGTGATTTTTTGTTATTTTTTTTGTTATTTTATTTTCACCTAAGTGACTTTACCCAATAGAACCAAAGAGTATCTATGGGGAGACTTTAACACTGAACGCGATGGGGAGCCTTTAACACTGAACGCTATGGGGAGCCTTTAACACTGAACGCTA